ATATATATATATATATATATATATATATATATATATATATATATATATACATAATACGGATTTCACTCAATGCAAGTATTCGAGCAGTTCAGGTAGAGAATTTCGACTGGTGATGTCGAAGAAAGACTCAATCAAATAAAGTCAGCTTCATAATCATCAAATATCAATGAGAGACCGCATGTATCAAAACGCAGGAAAACGAGTACTACACCAAAATTTAGAAACAAAATGATAAAATTTGCCTTTATAAAACCAACCAGTCTACTAAATGTCTTCTATAGCATCTCTCTTTGATATGTTCGTCTCTCTTTGACACTTCACCGCCTTCCTAGACGCAGACCTATCGCATTAATGTAAGAGCAGCCATAATACTTCTGCATCCAAGTGTTTTCGTATTGACAAGGTTTCAATGTTTTAATGAAGAAAGCGTTCTGAATTAGTCTACTTAACAAAGTTTCTGTAGCCTAGTTAGTTACTTCGCTATTTCTGTCATTCGGGCAAAAAGTGAAATTATCTCCAAATAAGAAACTTATAGTGCTTTCATTTGTATACTTAGAGCAGAAGAACGACCGACACAAGGAATTGTGCTAGCAGACGTAAAACTTGCATTCTATGTTATTCCGTTCATCACAAAATCACTAGAATTCTGCTATGACTTATTGTTAGTTTGGCTTTCAGTTGGAAATGTCTAACTCCTTATCATGGAAGACTTCGATGAGAAGGAGAGTTAATTCTGTTCAGCATCGTATTTCAACCCTCAAAAGACTTTCCAGTTACGATGGTGTGAAAAAAGTTTGGGAGTGGAGTAGAACGCTAACGAGAGACAAAAAGCCAAATGTTTCAGATAAGAATGACTGCACTGAATTTTGAACTATTGAAGAAAACGTCCTGGCCAATGCATATTTGGCACAGAGTTCACACTTACCAAGCCTAACCATATTAGAGAAAAAATATCTGATATTTTGAATAAAATGAATGAAATAAATGAATGAAATAAAATTTTTTCCATGGCGGCCATACTACCTTCCCAACAATAACTTTGTGTAAAGCATATCCCTATGCTAAGACTACTGGTGAAAAAAATCACGCAGTATCCATGCTACCACCTTCCTTATAGCACTGTGGTAAATGAATGTCTACAAGCGGTTGCTCTCTTCAAGTATGAAGTGGCGAGTGTGGAAATCAAACTAACAACGCAACATACTTGATACTTGAATGGCCCGTGCTCACTGATTGTGCGGGTCTCAGTATAATTTCCGTTTTTTTGGAGTTCTAATGGTCTAGTCATTGTGTTTTCCTGGAGTCCCAAGGTAAGTCTGAACGAAGTCTGCTCCAGGTCGTCACCACCACAGGCAGTCGCGGCCCTTGTGGATCAGAGTGAGATTTGCCAGCACGCGACTTTAATACCAGGATGGTGGTGGATCCTGGTATTAGTTTACTCTTAGCTAGGCTTCCTGATGGAAGCGCCGGACCCATTCTCAGCTTGGAGACCCTACAAGGAAGACGAATCCCCTCGTTGTACATCGCAGCCCGACACCCAGAAGCACCTCCCAGCCACGATGAGGCAGTAAACCGTTGGGGAACAACGCAGCATAGACGAACATTACTACGAGGTCAGCTTCGCGGCTATATTCTTGCAGCAATTCACTCGTACGAAGATGTCGAGCTGTTTTTTGTTCAAAACTTCGAAGTTCTTCCTAAAACAAGAAACTATAAGATCGGGCCATCCAAAAAACTACTGCAGAATCATTAGTCTTACATTTGTGATAGCTCCATGCAGTCCATTTTCATTACCTCTAAAAGCTGAAATAAGTTCCTCAAAATCATCCACTCTGAAAAAAGGGCGCAGTATTACGAACAGAAAAATTCGAAAAAGTTTAGAGCACAAACGTGGCTTTGTTTGGGGATCTATCGAAGGTGCTGATCACAATCAGATCCGAAGACTTCACTCCAATTTTGCGTAAAAGCGCTGCCATGTGTTTCTGGTCATTCGACACGCGATCACTTATTCCACCTTCTATAAAAACTCGTAAACGTGCTCCCTGAAATCTTATTTGACACCTTTTTATAAACCAACAGTAAAAAGTGGAGGTCCACGATTCTACACAACTCAAACTTTAAAGGGAATAAAATTTCAGAAGGAAAAAACTCACTTCAAGATATGTTCCAGGCAGTTGGAGCAGATATGGAAGTAGAACTGTTAAGCCACCATCGTCTCGAAGCCACCAAACATCAAAAAATTAAATACTATTGAAACAGATCACGTAAATTTGGCCTCATTTCAGCATTTGCTTAATGGTTCTCAACTTACGTCTTTTATGTATTAGAGGTGTCCAAAAAATTCAGATCGATACCAATACCTTCATCGAAATTCAAGAAAACTAACTGTGAGCTTGCATAAAACTGTCTAATGGCAGGACAACAAATGCTTCTAAGCCCACGGTTAGAGGCGTGACTTCCTCTATTTATCTATCTTTGTGCATGTTATGGTGATGAAACTTTAATCATTGAATCTTTTCAACTGCTCTAACTTTTCACGAGTTGAGTAAAACGAAGAAGATGGTTTCTGAGAGAGACAGAGGAAAAGAAAAGATATAAGCGTTGATGACTCCTTTGATGACAGAAATGCATGGCTAGTATATTCATACACAGACTGCGCAGGCTTAGATATTTTTCCAAATATCCACCGGTATTCGCTTCATTTAGCATCGATGAAGTATTGGTGATTTCTTTGTTTTGCTCCAAACAGTGGCTTTTTATGACTTGTGCATTACTACAATCCCGGTGTATTTTATAGCACTTTTATTTGTCCTATTGAATTTTATGACTAGTAGTGAATGGAACTAACCTATGGTTCCTTTGTGAATTCGCGTCCTGAAGCGCTCCAGCTGTCCTACCAATTCGGCGTTGTGGAGATTCACACTAAAGCTTTTAATTACTTGGATTTTGCACCGTTTTGAGGAAAGGGTGATCACAATAACTTACGTGTGATTGGAGTCCAGCTTAAATCTGCTTTTCTTTTTAGCCAATTCATCGGTAAGCTCAATATCCTCAGAAAGATTTTATTAGGACAGCCGTTCACTGTTAACATAAAGAATGCCCTCAATCAAGAAAATGCGTCAACTTACTACTGCATTACTATTCTTGGGAGCAAGTGAAGTAGATTTTCGAGTCGCGTCTCCGACTGAAAATAGCAAAGGTTTCAAAAAACCGACGAAGACAAGAAAAATGTAGTTTGTTACCTCTAGAGGCCTCTTGCGATGGTTTGTAGTTGCTTTCGCTGGTATTACAATAGCAGCTGGAAAATCTGGGAAAGTATTAAGTCAATAAATAACAAGGTGCTATTTTCTTGATAAGCACGCACAATGATGTTACTATACTCTTTATTCACCACTGCTACTGTTTTGGCGGATTTCGCATTCTCAGAACTTGGAAAGGTGGAGTTAACCGCAATCTAGTCAGCCAAGCACGTCCATAACCACAACAGAAAAATCATGAAACCTAGACTTCAATTGCATTCAAAACAGAATAGCTTCCTCACGCGCTCGCCGTTTTCTATGGGTCTTCCACTGAGTATTTCCCACGGAGACCAACCGCATGGAGTTCACAAGGATGGGTAATGCATCTTTCTCACATTAACGAGTGATAATGACGGCTGAAGGGCACGTGTGACGCAGTGCTCAGAGGCGCTCTGCAACACACACGTGCAATCCATCCCCGCTCCCATGGCCCACCAAGCCTTCCATCTCTCCGGGGTCGGCCAATTAGTATCAGACTTGTCTGGGAAGATAGCAGCATTGGCTCTATACATCGGTAGGCCATCGCGAGTCATTGTAAAGGCCAGATACACAATCAACCACCTCGAAACGATGCTTAATGAAGTCGAATGCATGGCGCATCCCTCAGAGATTGATCAATGCCGAAAGCTTTATCCTTTTTATTTTTTTAGTGACGGATGATTAGGGAGAAGATAGGACAGTGTTCGATCCCGCTTCGGGCCCACGAAGCCTCTCATCCTTCTGGAGTCAGAAAATTTGTAGCAGAATTGTCTGGTAAAAGTTTACTTTCGCATTCCAAGTGGGAACGCTTTATCCTGGGTATCTCAGGACTCCAAGGAGAATTGATTCGACCAGCATTCTACGACATTCAACATGGGGTGAAAATTTTTAAGCAGTAGCCGACGTCGGATGTAAAGTTGGAAGACTTTCATGGATGACGGATACGAAGAAACGAGTCGAATATGGAAAGTGCTGGGATCCGCAAAGCAGATATGAAAGACAGGTGTTATAAAAATAAAAAATAATGACGCATTCCTATCTGTGGTTCATTTTTGGATTCTTCGAATTTATCTAGAATACTCCGACACTTTTACACGCTATGTTCTAGATTCCTGTGCGTGGACGATAACTTCTACCTCAAAATCTTTTTCGTCATGTCTGACTAGCGCGCCTAGTGGAATATTTGGTTTAACTTTAAGTTTACCGATTTCGTGTTCTTTTATATGACCGAAGAGTGGTCTACCCGTTTCGCCAAGGTATTCCAATGTGCTCTGTCGCCACACTTTACAAAAGATTAAGCAAACCATATATGAACTCATGCAATCGCGGTCTCTAACGCTAGGGCATATTATGCAGTTTTGAGTTTTGCAAATGTCATCATACAAATGGTTACGAGCTATAGGGCACCCAGGAGTGTTCGGTGAATTCTCTGGACCAGCCCTTTTTAAGCAACGCCCCATAGCTGTACTTATTTCATACTATGTTTCATATATTTTATCAAAGAGCTTGTGTGGCGTAGTGGTCGGAAGCGCCCTGGAATACACACGTGGAATCGATACCCGCCCCATGGTCCACCAAGCCTTCCATCCCTCCGTGGTCGGCAAATTGGTATCAGACTTGTCTGGGAGGATGGCAGCACTGGCTCGATACACCAGTAGGCCACCGCGAGTCATTGTAGAGGCCAGATATGCATTCAGTCACCTCCGAACGATGCTTAATGAAGTCGAATACATGACGCATCCTTCAGGGATTGATGATTGATCGACGCCGAAAGTTTTATCCTTTATCCTTTATTTCTTATCAATTACAAAGTTTCAATTAGAACCGACAACTCACTAGGGGTTAAAGTCGATGTCATTCTCGTCACCGTCTGCACCGATAGTGGAATTTTTCGTGCTAAAACGTTCAGTCAAGTCGAATCCGATGTTTGAATTACGGAAGATGGCCACACCCACATCATTCTCGAATGCGTTTCTTGAATTGCTCAACATCAAGTTGAATGCTTTTCATTACTGATCTAGAGAAGAGGCCGAAAGGCACATTTGTATAGGATTTTCTGAGTGGTAGCAAACTTGTACCTATTCGATAAGCTTGTTCTTACCGAGAAATCCTATTCTCTTACTTACAAGGTGCAGTGCTATGAAAATGAAACCCTATTGCTAGAAGTTCATAGACAATTTCTGCGCGTTAGAGGAATATGAATAGAATATGGCTAATATTTAGCAAATAAACAATTACTTCACAAATGGTCGCACTGAAATCTGGTCGGATCGCCTTTAGCAAACATGTAATAAAGGTGCCTCATTCTACTACCCTTTCTTCTGGAAACGGGAAGGCAATGTGTTTACTAGTCCACCAATGGTCTTCGTAACCGCGTAAGACGACGAAGAGCGCTTCACCAATTGCAGGATGACTACCAGTAGTGGTTCACTCATTAGGTGTGCCAAGTATTGCATTAAACATATTAAAGTAAAATTCACAGTGCGATCTCGTAAAATCCGATAATCTCATCCACTCCACGTTTCTCCCAGTTAGCTTTGAAGCCAATCATCAATATATTTGGGCGCATTTTACCGATACCAGAGCTCTGAAAGGAATAACTTGTCTTTCCGGTTGAAACGAAGATATTAGCATGCGTACCTGGAGCAATGTTATTGCACCTTCCACTTGATGTTTGTTGGCTACAGTAGCCGCGAAAGCTTCCACATTACGGCTCTCCAACCATTCCGACATTTGTCTGTACACTTTCTTGGTTATGACTGCCGTGCTACTGCTCGTCGATTGCTAAAGAGAGGATCAGATTTTGCGTAAATCATATATACATAGGAAGTGAATCGGCTAGAGTATACAGAGTGAGGAAACTCGTCAAACCGGGATCACAAATCCACAAATGAGTAACGATCGTCCCATGGTGATATTGTTGGCGAAATCAACGAGCGCTGGTCTGGCAGCAGGGTTTCCAGTCAACAGTAACACCTATAACAAAATGAATAAAAGCAAGAGGATTCAATGAAAACATTTTAAATGACTATTGAAAAAAAAAATCCAAGGCAGATGTAGAATTACGATTGGCCGTCATATCCAACTAATCCAGTTGAGTTACGGCCGAAATAAAAAGCTGCGTCGCAAAACAAATCAGCGACGACGCGGATTAATTGGTTTGATCTCAGCTACGCTTTTAGTGACTTTTTCAAGTCCTGAGGTATTTCAAATCTATACACTTTGTGCTTTGCCAACAACTTCGAGACTAACATACGGTTGAGGGAAATAATTTGATTCAACGACTCTGTTGAAGGATCCATCTTCACTCGTCAGAACTCGTGCATCTACACTTACTTGCGGTGTGTTCTTGACATTCACATAATAACTCGTATATAATGCTGAGATATTTGCAAAACTCCGGACCGCAGGTTATGCGGTAGGGAACGAACGCACGCGATTGTCCTTTTCTAACTATTGTAACTAGCTGAGAGACAGGCAAAACGAAGGACCCAGATGGTGTGGTGGTGAAGTGCGCTACTCCCCGGAAAGTACAATAGCGCGTGTTCGTTCCCCACCGCATACACCTGCGGTCCAGAGTTTTGCAAATATCTCAGCATTATATACGAGTTATATTTCACAACATACCCTGCCATTAAAAAGAAAAAGGCAGTAAATAAAAGGGTTAAGATTCACATAATACTTCAAAAAAGAGATTCACACATTTGAAAACACGCGAACTGTGGGACCGATGGTTGTTCGAAAACCACTCAGTGGAGTGATGCGCCGTGTTTTCCGTCTTAAAAAAGTCCCTTATGATGTCGAAGAAAAGATGTTGCGTGGTCAATGTAAGATTGTTCAAATAAAACAGTTTCTAGTCATCTCACTGTCTTATTTCCTCTTCAACGGCAGTACCAAATACCAAATATGAAAGTCGTTCCGGAATACGACATGTCATTTGCTGTGATGTAAAGTAGATTGCTTGCAAATATTCCTAACAGCAAGCCGATACTTGAACAATTGGTACCGTTGTCTTTGTTGAGGCAGGGTAGGACAGGGGTTAGTGATGCAGTCTACCTGTAATTAAGGTGCTGGTTGATTAGACCCCTTCCTACGCTCTGCTGCAATTCATGTGGGAACGCCTTAACTCGGTTATCGTCAAGATTGCAAGGAAAATCGAATCGACCAGCATTTTACGACATTCGTAAAGAAGACGAAATCCTCGAGCAGCAACCGAAACACTACTCGAAATGTTCAATAACCATTCTGGATGACGGATACGAGGAAAGCGAATCGCATGTAGGAAGTGCTGGGATCCGCATTGTGGTTGTGACGACGAGTAATATAAAATAATAGTAATGATGATTATCGCCAACTGAAGCTTAGAATTCTTTCTGGTTGCCAAACGACACACTAGACATACCATCCTTGAAGTTCTTCCATCAGCATGTGCCATTCAGCGATATCTAAGTGGTTCAATAGTAATGTATTAACGCAATAACAGTTAATGGATCAGTGGTACAAGTATGCTCGCAGAAATCACATAGTTCAAGAAAAGAAGTATGGGAGCACAAATATTATATTAAGCACTGGCACCTGAGGCTTATAGTCAAGATCTGCTTCTCGCTCCATGTCTCGTAATCTATTGAGCGCCGTATCGAAAGACGATCCGATATGCTCCTTGGTAATTTTTGATTCTACAAATGAATTCCATTTTTTGACTATTTGCCCAAGTGCAACCTGTTTTTGATAAACAAATTATGGTTTCACTAAGTAACGTTTGTTTTCATGTTGAACGATAACATCTACTACCTGGATACTTGGATGGCCCGTCTTTACTGTTTGTGTGGCCACCAGTGCAACGCCCATTTTTTCGGAGTTTCGCTGGTTTAGTCATAGTGGTTCACTGCAGTCCAGAGGTCATCTAGCCCAAAGTCTGCCCAGGTCGTCACCAAAACAGGTAGTTACCGCCCTTGTGGATCAAAGGGAGATTTACCACCATGCGACTAGTTTGATGTCAGGACGGTGGTCGTTCCTGGTACTGGTTTTTAGCCGGGCTTCCTGGTGGAAACGTCGGACTCCTTCTCAGCTTGGGAGACCCTGCCGGTGGATGAATCCTTCAACTGTACATCGCGGCCCAACACCCATAAACACCTTTGTAGCTACGATGATGCGAGAAACTATTGTGAGGATAACACTTATTAGCATCTGTAATTCTGCATTTGGTTCCTCCTGTTTCTGACAAAAGAGATAATCGAACAAAAAGTATGAAAGACCTAAACTTTCCCATTTAAAGCTTCAATAGTTAGTATAATTTGAGAACGATTGAAAGATCTGCAGAGTTTTTCCCGTGATAATAAACATAAAAACGTTTGGAGAGTGTTTTCTTTGGAGATGTGAGAGCAACCAAAGCCACTATTTCAAGGCAGGAAGGAAACACGCTCTTCCATAGATCTTTTAGAGTAATATTTTCTGTCATCTTCCTCTTAAAAGTGAACCGCACCATGGACCACTGGAGGAAGCGAAGACCTTCCCGGGAATGGAATATGCGAACGGACTGCAGGGTCCAGCCTACCAACAATTGATTCCGAGCGTTTGCGCATGATTTATTTGTTCCTCTGGGAGGTTACACTATAGTTTTACTTTCAAAACCCGCAGATCTCTTCGACATAATCTGTCCATATAGCCTCATAGAGATTTTAAGAACACGATCCGGCCAGGTGGAACTCACTTGACTGCTTCCACTTGACGTAGATGTAGAATTTGAGGAAGGTAAAGATGGCTGTATTTGTAAGTTCCCAACTAACAGCCAGCATTATATGAACGCAAAGCAACGAGCAGACCAGCGCTAGCCAACGATTGTAGTATCGAAATGCAGGCTTGTCAACTGCAACGAAGACGGAATTCAAATTTAGAAAAATCCAGTAGGATTTGAAAACGTACAAGCCTAAAATGTTCTTACGCCCACCAGCTATGTCATTACTTAGAGCTTTACTGGTCTTTGACAACAAAATAGACCAACTGAGGATGTACACCGGATTCGAGAGATATAAATCAAAGCCGAAAGAAAATGAATAACTTAGAGAGTTCTTTTAAGAGAAATGGATTTCCTTCACTCAAGATGGTTTGTTTTCTGCACGTGGTGAGCGTCTGTGAGCTGTCTTATAGGTAGCAGATTGGTGTGAATGACTTTTTCACGAATACCGAAACTTATGGACAGTAGATATTAAAGTAGGAAAAATCTGGCACTTACATTTGAGAGTGCTCATAAAAACAGCGTAGTTGAATAGCGAGTAGGTGCTCAGAAAGAAGATGGTCACCATGCTTGCGACGATGTTAAACTCACCTGAAATCTACCTCAGCTGAAAACTATTCACATTTCTGTCTTCTTACCCAACTGTATTACCTTAACTCACCTATTTACTTCTGTCCAACTATAAACTATATGCAGCAGTACTATTGCACTTATAGTTATGCACAGCAGCATATGTGTTTACTGATAGAAACAAAAGTTAAATAGGAGTGATAAAACCGTCTATCTGCTTTTCATTGGCTTTCAAGGAGGAAATTACAACCACCTACCTTGGAAGGAAAAAACCAGGTTTTGTGAAATTACAGCACTAATGTAATGGGTTGGTACATTACACCAGCAATGTCTAAAAGCCAGCAAATCATCTTTTCCTTAGTACCACATAGTTTGTCATTACAAAAGGGCAGTAGATAAAAAGTTTGTAAAAGATTGCGAAGCTAATTCTAGAAAAAGTAGGGAAAAAACGGTAGAAACCGCAGCTCGTAAAGGGAAGGATGGAAAAGCAAGTGCTTTTCAAAAACTCACCAATCATGCTTAAAGCAACAGCAGCAGTGGTAATCACAGCGAATGCAATCCGGGGAGCATCTTCTCTTCCGTAGCCACGTCCGAGTTTATTCCATCCAGGAACCAACCCATCGATGCGCCCAACATCCTGATCTTGTCATTTACAGTTCAGATTAAATAAACTGAATACACAATTAGTCTTTTCTGGCATGTGTTAACCATTTTTCAACAAATAGTTTTAAACAACTTCCAACAAAAGGAACACCTAGAGTGAAGGGACCAAAACTGCTTCAGTAACCTGGACAGTTCGAGCCGCAGTGATGAGCGCCGTATAGGCGCAGTAGAAAGAAGACAGGACCACAACCGCTGTAACGGGCAGTGATTTCAGCAACGCCTAGAGAATCGTTTCATGAAAACTGTTCAAATCTAACATCACATTACTTCAAGTTGGCCGCCAGTGCATTTGCCTAAAGTGAAAAGTTTCCAAATTTTTTGAACAAAACTGCCATAGCGCATCCTACCAAGAACCAACTGTGTTTAATAAACTATTGGTTAATGTGTTTATTCGTATCACGCAGTATAAGCAAGCAGTTCTTGGAAATTGCCATTGCATCAATAAGATGGTGAGCACTTTGTGACCTATAAGTTTCTCAATAGTTCTGACTTACCATACTACGAAAACCATGTTCCAGAGTAGCGGCATGTGTGGAAACTATGGCGCTGATACTTATGAAACGAGCCTCAAGTGAAGCTGTCACAATGTACAGTAGTGATGAGAGCACGAGTGCCGAGGTAGTGCCCCGAAATGTGTCATTCTGAAACGGTAGGCGGCAGAGCATACTTGGCATTCATGAGTTCTTATGAACTCTGTGGATATTACTGCTCCAGTTATAAATCGCTAGACCGACGAATGGGGAATTCGTTTCACTCTAAAAAAAAATCACGTAGGAAGAACGAGAAAGAGAAAGAAGAAAAGGAATAATGTCTTAACTTTCTTCAATGAACCTGTTAGCAAATAACATAATTAGAACGGATGGAAGGCATCGTTATAAACATCAGATGAGTTAACTTGTATCACAAACGTTCTTGCTAATCGTCAACAGCAATGAACGATTGCTGGTAAAGCCTCTACTCGTTCTTGCCGCGTGCCAAAGTTTCTCAATTATTCTGCTTGGCCAAACGAAAAGAGAGGGCATAGTTTTCCTCCAACATCACCATGAAGAAATCTGACTATCGGGTCTGTAGGCTTGGCATAATCTAGGGACCAAATACTAACGGGTCATGCTCAGCAGATGTTAACAAGACGCGTAATACATTCGGCTCACCTTGTTCTCGGTTTCCCAGGATATGCAGGAATGGCCCAGGTCGATTGTCATGGTTCAGAACTATCTGTGAAAAGTCAAACAAGTGCGTTTATGATAACTAATGGTCGGTTCTTCAGGTGGGGCTTATTCTTGTTGCTATTGTTTGTCATGTGTAGTTTCACAGTACAGTCACAGTTTCACAGTCACAGGGCTTCCAGACACATGTAAAACCTTCGAAAAGAGAGCCGTCAGAGCATCAGTTCCGACTCCATGATAAGTCATGGAGGCAGGTCGACGTGGCCTTCAAAGACATTAGGTTACAACTCCGAGATGAACTTTTGCAATTCTGTTCTTAGTACAGCGACCGTTTCGTCTAGGTAACGGAAAACAGCCATCTTGATCATATAAATGGCAAGTCTTTGGAGCCTGTTACATATGTTCTTCACAAAGTCTACACCGTAAGCCAGCACTGTTGTTGTTCTATCCTTTTGTTATATTGCTTCTACGCAATGTTTTGTAAGCTCTGGTGTAACTAGATTTTTAGATCGATTTTTGTTGTAAAGAGGCGTCTGTTGGCGTCTGTAAAGAGGCGCTTCAAAGTGGTCCTTTTGAACTACCGTGATCATGCTCGAAAATCCAGTTATATTTCGTAACGATGCTGTTGCTAACGAGAACTCTAGGATAAACCAAATAAGTGAACAAGTAGGCTTTTGAAATTTTGAGCAGCTATGACTGGTGGACTGGTGTTTCCCATCATGAAAGACTCACTCAGCCAATCATTCTGCTTATTACATTGTAATCCCTGGTTGCGATGTGGAGCTTTTCAAAACGCGCTTTTCACACTAACCTCGGTGTAGAAAGAGCCGATGATAAGTTTTCTGAATGCGTTGTCTTTTCATAAGAAATCCTTGAAGCAGCTTCTAGCCATCTTTGGCTACGTTTGGTCCCGTAGGCCACAGGCGTCCGAATACGGTTCCGTCCATTCTTGACAGTTATGTGGTTCGAGAAAAGTCGGTAAAAGCTATTTTCTTCTTGAGTACTTGATGAGGTTGAGTCGAAAGCCGTGTACGAAAACTCACTTATAAATGCAGTTTCCATGCAATAGAGATCGTCCAGTGTAGGGCAACAATTAAAATGAGCAACGCAGACAGTTCATTCTGGTTTCGACGGCATAGTTGATCTACTTGCATTGTTTGCGAATGTCCCAAAGGTTTACCGGCTCATAGTGGCTGGGCGGTGTTCCTGGGTGTCAGACTCCGATGTACAGCGAGGAGAATCATCGCTCTGACAGGCTCTCCCAAGCTGAGAAGGAGTCCGGCGTTTACATCAGAAAGCCCAGCTAAGAGTAAATCAATACCAGGATCCGTCAGCGTCCTGGTATCAAACTAGTCGCGCAGTGATAAACATTCCTCTGATTCAGAAGGGCGGCGGCTGCCTGTGGTGGTGACGACCTGGGGCAGACTTTGGCCTGGCTGATCTCGGGACTTCAAAGAACCACAATGACTAAACCAGTAAAACTCCGAAAAAGTGGAGAATATGCTGAGGCCTGCACAAACAGTGAGAGGGGGCCGTTCAAGTATCAAGTATCCAAGTATTGATTGCGAACAGTTAAGTAATAAACGATAATCATACGAATGTTGAAAAGAGAGAAGAATTTGAAGAAAACCTTGGTGAAATTAGTTCGCATCGACAAGCTGATGAACACACATGTCACGGCGGGAAAGTAGACGACAAATCCCATTGCCTTCTTGTCGTATGGGTTGTAGTCGGAGATTTTGAACGCTGAACAGACACTGAAGCTCGAAAGCTGGAATCAACGAATGACCCATTATGCTAGGATCCTAATGTTCGCTCTCAACTCAATAACCTCTCACCTTTGAAGCGGGAACTCAGTCACATCAATGGGAAATTTTCCTTGTTGAACAAAAGTCTTTAGCTGTGAAAAATAGCTGATCTATTCATGCACTAAGAGAATGTTTTTGAACTTATTTTCGTGGACTGTTAAGTTAACACGGGGTTGATGAAAAGTTCTAACGGCTAGCGAATCGACGTACTCGTCTTTCTCAGAAAAAGAAGTTTTTATTAACCTCGCTTAAGAAACCAAGAAAATATTGATTACTTGCAAGAAGCTGAAACGAAAGGTTTTAAGGAATATTTTTGTAAATTTAACCAGAAGATTTTGCAAAATATAGGAGAGAGTCGAAAATCTAAGAGAACAGTAATCGAGAGGTGGCAGAATTTCTACCTTATTCCAAGAAATAATTACAGCCCATGCTTGAGATTTGTCGTGTATCTTTTTAGTTCTTCCATGTTATACCTAACAGACAAGAACTATACGTAGAAAAACTAGGCCTAGCGTCCATTTTCAGTTCAGAGAGTCGTAGGAGTTGTTTTTACCACACTATACATACTTATTTGATAGCCAATCGAAAGTAGTTCAAAATCGGTGGAATGAGGCCAGAAGACCCACTCTGTGCACTTCATGATTTCCTAAAGACTCTTGTTCAAAAAAGTTGACCGATAACCTGACTAACAATTAACTGCCATACCCTTTAAACCGTCATGTTGTTACATTGTTGTTTGCGTGGGCATAAGGAACACCGAAACAGACTCAACATAGGCCCCAAAATATTTCCAAGTGTTAACAGCGACGGGTTCCTATAATGGACTGCACTGACGCACAGTAAATAGTAGTTTACAGATCAAACATACCTATGAAACGAAACAACAAAATCTCTTCTTCAATCCTGGTTGGTCACAACCTTTGGAATTCTCTAGCTATCCAAAAATTATTTTTTTATCGTCAAAAAACCAGAAAGTCCGCAGCCGATGAAAAATTCCGCGTTTACCGATCAGCCAACCGTAAGAAGCGCTGCATTTCCGTAATAGGTCCAATTTTTCAAAAACTAGCAGCAAGTGATAATAGAGAGAGAATTTTGTTTGTATTTTCGGGTCAATAAGAATAGTCATCTCTCAGTGTTACATTTTTTATTTACTGCTCATTACAATCTTTCACGGTAGGATATTAAGTGTGATTCGACCACAATAATACTGAGATATTTGCAACATTCCGGACCGCAGGTGCTTGCGGAGGGTAATAGCGCGTTCGTTTCCCACCGCAAACACCCGCGGCCTGGAGTTTTCCAAATATCTCAACATTATTGTGATTGAGTCATCTATCACTTGGGCTCTCTTCGACTGCCGAATGGCTGGAGAGGGAGCAAATAAAATTTCTATTTGACCCTGTAGCATGCAAGGGTAGCTCAGTAGGTTTCCTTTACTCTAGGGACTCATTGAACATTGCCTTACTTCTAGGATTTCCGTGAAGAACTCTGACCATCAGGTCGATGGACTTCCTGCTATGCTTTTGACATCTTGAATAATCCATTCACTAATGGTGCCTGTCCACCTGTTGTCGACCATAAGAACCATAGGTTCTGTACACTTTATCTTCGACAATTTGGCATGAGGAACGACGCCTTCGATTTTAGATCGTTGAAGAACTTCGGGGCTTCGGATCTCCTCCTTTGTTTGCGTCATACAGGATCTTCTTAGCATTGTGCTTTCGACTGCGTGTTCGATAAAGTCAAGTGGTTTTCGATCTTTAATTATGCAGCGACCAGGTTTCTGACGCATATGTTAAGGCAGGAAGAATCGTGGAGTCGAAGAGATGAACGGGGTTTCGGAAGTTCTTTATTTTTTTCACTACACTTCACCTCGATGCTCTTGAAAGCTCCCCAAGCCGCTCGTTTTCTTCTGCTCAGCTCTGGAGCTAGGTCGTTCATCATATTGATTTCCCGACCCAGATAGACGCAACTGGAGCATTCGGGGATATTCGCTCCGTTGAGAGTGAATGGGGCATACAAAACCAATCCGTTCCTCTGCAAGCATCCGTTCTACCTGAGTAATGGTTGGTGTTAACGATGTTATCGAACGATGTTATCAGCAAAGCGAAGATGGTGTAATTTCCGATCATCGATTTTCACTCCCATGTTGTCCCATTCCAGTGCTAGCACGACGTTCTCGAGTGTGGCGGTGAATAATTTTGGCGAGCAAGGTATCGTCTTGCCTAACCCCTCGTTTTACGTCTACGATAATGTCGTTGTAGAGTGTTTACATTCTGGTTCGTGAATTTGTACACAGCTAAAGAAGACTTTTTGCATACTGAGTAGGGACGCCCTAGATGTGTATTCAATGATTGCTTCAGTAAAAACTGAGTCGAAAATTTTCCTTCAATCGAAAAAAGCAAGGCAAAGAGGTTGCTCGTACTCTCGCGGTACTTCAATGACTCTTATTATCGTATGGATGTGGTCCATCGTACTGAATCCTTTTCGAAGCGCTGCTTGCTGACCCCTCTTTTAACATCAATGATAGTATCGTTGTGGAATGGTGATACTTTGGTTGCGTAATTTTTTGTACAGCTCACGAAGAATCTTTATGTACTGAGTAGAGACTCTTTGACTATCAAGGGCTTCCATGACTGCTTCTATCTCAGTTGAACCAAAGGCCTTCTTTAAATCGATGAAAGTGCAACAGAGCGGTCTTTTGTACTCTCGCGATACTTCAATGAGTCTTGTTATTGTGCAGATGTGGTTCATCGTACTAAATCCTTTTCGAAACCCTGCCTGCTTACATGGCTGTACATCGTCTAGTGTTTTGCCAATCCTGTTTAGGATAACTCGAGCGAAGAGTTTATAGACGGCTGATAGAAAGCCTATTGGGCGATTGAAGCCGATATCGTGGAGGTCACGCTTCTTGAACAATAACACAATAAGAACAATAAGAATAAGACAGTATTGAACAATAAGACAGTATTGCTGGTTTTTCTTTTAATACGAACTCTGCATTCTGACAGGTAATGTGAGGTAAGCAGATGCACTGTCTTGACGAGGAGTGGTGGAAGGTTTTTCGAGTGTTCAGATCTTATCTTGCCTAGACCAGGTGTTGTTCAATTCTTAATCGACGAAATACCACGTCGTATTAAGGGAGAGCGAACTGGTGACACGAATATCTATCCTGCTCTATTTCGTATGACGGCGAGAAAACGTGGCTAATGAAAATGTCCCAGTGGTAATGGAGATGATTTTTTTTTGAACGCTGTAAGTGTTCCGTCTGGGCATCGGAGTGCAATAATCTCGGTTTTATAATTGGCAAAGCTTCAGTGGGCTTTCCGAACACTTTCCCCACCCTTTTCAGCTTCCAGCGTAACTGCTGCCCTTCTCTGTTTAAGTTTTTCTTTCAACTCCTGTCTACATTGTATTGCAATCTCACACGTAAGTTGGAGACCGGCTGTAGTCCGTGCGATTCCACGTTGGCGTGTCTTTCGAACTCTTAGCTTTCATATCGCTAACGTGAAGATGTTGAATGAGCCGACTGTATTCCTCGTCGATGTTACCAAGAACGGTATCTTCCCAACAATCGACTAATAAACTGAATAAATCCCAGTTTATGGTGGTTTTGCACTTCGTTTCTCGAATTTAGGGCTTCTTCTCCTTTCCGCGAGAAACGAAATCTTGCACGAAAGAGACGATAGTCTGATCACGCGTAGAATTTTAGAACAACGGCAACATCGATTAGGCAAAACCTTCGCTTTGCTGCGATGTGGTGTACGGCGTTGGCGTGCTTTCCACTGGAGACTTCCACGTCCAGCGCTGAGAGTAGGGCATCTGAAATTGCAAGTTACCATGAATGGTCCTGGTCGTCGTGATAAACTCAGAGAGCCGTTCATCCTCTTCGTTCCATTCTAATCCATGGTTCCCAATGTGACGTTCTTCAGACGTTCTTCTGGTCCAATCTTAGCATCAAAGTCTCCAATTATGATCTTGGACAATGTATGGTCTTCTCTGTAGAACTTCTCCAAGCCCACAAAGAATGGTTCAACTCTGTTCCCTTATAGTTTGATGTAAGTGCGTAGGCGACGAAGGTTGTCGAAAGCGGATCCACATCTCTTCAAACGTAAACGTCCGATTCAAGTTCTTTGTTGCTCGAATGAACCGATGTCCATGGGCAAACTCGTGTTGGTGAGAACGCCGATGCCGCGGGCTCCTCTTCTCTCGCATGTTCCGGGGAACAGTTCTTCTCCGGTGTCATAGACGGCGTTGAATGGGTAGCATGTTCTCGTCTCGCGATTTAGGCAATCTAGAATGGTCCCGAGATTTTAGCACCCTCTCCCTACTCGTCCTATCCAGTGCTGCCATCTAAGGGGGTCTTTCGTGGTCAGCAGAATAAGTCCCTCTTATTTAACTGCTTTGATACCTTTGATACCACGTACATTGGTCAGCTATAAACGTAGGGCTGAGTGTAGTCACGAGTAGCTTTCAATCTCTCTCAGAATACATGGGGAGCTCATCTGTCGGAAGAGACTTCTAACCGCCTCCCATACACTTCCCGGTCTCTTGATTGTAGGCTTTTGGCCAAATTAACTCGTAGAATTCAACCCGCGTAAACGAGAACACACCCACGCACGTGTGCATGAATGTCTTCGTAACAGCAGAAACAGGGACTCTATCCCCTGGCTCCACGCGCGTCTCTGGAAAGCAAAGCGGTTTTGGTCCACGATCAAACGCTTATCCGCCACCTGGGAACATACGACGTTGCCTAGCGACTAACCAGCATGAGATACGACTATTAGGATGATCCGTGATAATCACTTAGTCTCAATTCGACATTTTTCAAATATTCTTCTGGGTCCAGTTCATCTAAACTCCATCTAAAATCTCCAATGGTGACTTTAAAGAATATGTATTCTTTCTTCGACGAGCTTACACGAGGTTGATAATGATGCTTATTTTCGGCTAAAGTTTACTCTCATACTCTTCATACTTTAAAGAATGTATAGTCTTCTACTCAGGAGTTTCTCAAGTCCATATAGACTTCGTCACCGTCATAGCTTGACCTCAGTGCATAATTGGTTATTAGATAATAAAAATGGTAAGAAAACAACATTACCATTAACAAGAAATACTATAGATTACTGGAAACCTATGCGTTCAGCCAGTACTTAAGAATATTCATATGGAAAAGTATGAAGAAAAGTCGGTGATAGAGTTATGAATTGAGTGCTGCTATGCTTAGTCTCCTTGAAAAATACCTTTAGGTGTATAGCCTTGGAAACTCACTGTTTTTATCTTGCTAGAACTTAAAACACAGAAATTGCGAAGCAAATGAGTGGTCGCGTTTGTTTAGTATAGATATTTGGTTCTAACGATTGCTCACTTGTGGAATTGATCCGTCGCTCGATAATCATCGACGGTACCATAAAACCGATAATCTGCAGCAGCACGGCAAATAGCACGAGAGACATCATCACCAGGCGAGTGTAAAAGTGATCCGACGATCGGAGAAACGCCACCAGAAAGACGTTTACGCAGAACACTGCAACAGCGACCATCTCATAAGCGGAATGAAAATTCACAAAATGGATCCATTTTCTCAGGAGATTGCGCTATTTTCGTTCACTTACAAGTCTCTAATTTGGAACAAGCTTCACAGCAACAGAAATGCCTAGGATTTTGGTCTGGCCAGATGGTCACATCACGATGGCAATGGCGAGTTTTCCAAATTCTTCAACTAAAACTTTTTTATAGGAAATCGCTGTTATCTAAGGCAATGGCAGTAAGTGCTCTACCTACTAGACGACACTTCACTTTTATTTTCCTATATCTTTCGAGAGTACTTTGCTTGTTATTCTTTAATGTGTACTCACAGCAGTCGACGCATCCGCGGATTTCGTTAGAGCCTGGAAAGTTCGAGCTAACTAACTATAACCTAGCCACCATAACCTATCCACCATAACCTACCAATAGCCTAGCACCACCATGACCTCAACAGAAATACCATGATACCTAATTTTCAATTGCATTGGATGCAAAACAGCTTCCTTACACTCACCGCCCTCTACGAATATTCCACTAAGTATCCCAAGGGGCTGACTAGGTCACGGTCAAGTTGACCTTTCCAGGCTTTGAAGAGGGAAAGATCTGCCGAAACGTTAGTTGTTGTGAATAAGTACTATATAATAGCAACTTGGTGTGTGCTTGTCAAGAAAAGACCGAATTTATCAATGCCGAGGTTAAAAGAAAGTCGGATCTGGGAAATAGTTTGGTTGCTTCCCGCTTAATTTTCTCGATCTACTTAGAATTTCAAAGTGAGATGCATATAGCCTCATTTATAATTTGAATTTGCACTCATAAAAAAGACGGTTCAAGATCAGCCAAATAGCGAATGGCAGAACAATTTTCAAACTGACCATCATTTAACCTCCGTTGCAAAATGATCGACATATGTTCAGATTGTTGACCTTACACGAAGTTGAACCTAACCTCGTGTAAGCACAACAATTTAAATAGATATCGATTGCTCATATACTCTGAAAATCGAATTGAAAAGAACCTTAACCTTATAAGCTCCGCTTCATTAAATTTTTTTCTTTGCACGCTTACGGGAAAACAATAGGATAAAATGAGAACGGAACGTGTCAATGGAAGCGCACCAAATATGAGGAAGGAGATGAATTGACTGCTGACCTGCTGAAAAAATGCGCATGTCGTTTATGGAACCGTCAATGATGATGATTCCTGAATTTCTGAGAGCGTTCACCAATGTCTCGGCAGCAGCCACGGAAAACATGGCGAATGACAGGACGTTGCTGAACACGTACAGTACCGAAAGTCCTGCTGATGATGCTGAACTCGCATATTTGGAGATCTGAAACCATTGAATACGTTTGTGTTTCAAATGAGGTTGATGAGAGGGCGATCCACATAGTGCTCAGCGATCTTCCTCCAGTGCGTGATTGGTGGTCGCTGTGAAGAAGCACATTTTCTTCTCCATACATGACAGGATCTTTCAACATCCTAATCGATCACGCACAAGTGGCTGTGCCGGTGTATCCTTGTTCTTAGTGCAGTTTCAGCATAGAGTATTCATAGTATGATCAATATCATGAAGTAAAACAGAATGGCAGAAGATTTTTTGAACCCAGACACCCATTTGTCCAAGTTATCCTTGCTGAGATATCACATACAAATGCTGTTTCTTTCAGACTAGCTTAGAAAACCTACCTAGAAATCCATATAAGTTACTTAACGTGGACATAAGGATATTCTATCTTCTATTCATGCTGTTTAATGAGTTGGAGCGTTTTCCATTTGTTGCAGTCATTACTACAATGGAACACTCTTTCGAGAAAAAACATTTGTGGGAGCATCTTCCTGTGATCCAAAAATCGTCTCCAATTGTGAAGGCATTTGGTGAACGTGATTCATAAATGCGTTCATCCATCGTTTAGGTGGTCGCCTTAAAAGTTTCACGTCTACTTAGGGTTCACTCTACCGACGTTCTTCTTGTCCAGCTCACTTGTCGTCAATTCTCTTTACAAAATGACGAGACCATGAGTGGTTTGCTTTCGAGGAGGTATGTGTTGTTCCTTGAGTTTCGATGATGAGATATTTTTCAAAGGCCCAAACTGCATAGTTTGATTTAACTTTAAGTGCGTTTATAATCTCAAAACGCAGCGTCCAACGGTTCAATGCTTAGTGCGCCAGAGCTCATAAGCGACAGAGATGTCAACTTATGTCGCGCTGCGCAGCGGTGTGGACGAAAGATCTTTGAGTGAAAAAGACGAGCGAGGAAATGCGCGGAAAGACGTGTTAATCGGTAAATTGTTTCTCTAACAGACCTAAGAAGGGCTTATGCTATTCGCTTTATTCTTCATGTCTTCAATGAACGCAACAGTCACGCGTAGGATGTGGCACTCATTTCATACTTCCATGATGCTCCACAACATAACGCATGCAAATAACAAAGGTTCGATGGAACTGCTGCACTTTCATGGCGCTATTGCGATAAGAGCCATCTAGAGTTCTTATCAAGCACGAGGATGCTCCGCGCAGACGAGAGCTTATAGTGTGGCATCAATAACGAGACTCTCAAAAACTTTCTTGTAGCCTATAAAGGTTGAAATAAAAGTCATGTGGTACACCCGACAGATTTTGATGAACCAAACCACTGCGATCTATCCGGTCGAATTCTCATTTGAGTAGCGCCCGCTTAACTGGTTGAAGATTGAACCAAAATTTTCGATGTTTGGGTAAGCACGCTGATTGAGTTATAAAGTTTCCTTCAGTGAATGTTCTTTGTTGCATGGCAACCGTATAAAATTCTATATGATTTGCCCGAAATGTGTATAGTTCGTGAGTTCTAGCTGGATGGAAGTCGGTTGTGACATTATTTGGCCGGAAGAGTCCATGGTCTCTATGATAACTCAAACTTCATGTAAAAAAGTCCCTGCCAGCTAGTTTTTCCAGCTAAGTGTTTTAAAGTTGAGTGAGGGAATTCGTAGGACAGAAAGACCAAGGAGACCTTTTTCGTTATCAATTCCATATCATATCGAAAGATTGAAGGAATCTCACCTTCATTCACCACAGCTAATAACACAACATTCGAATCTATTCGCTTGGAGTGATTCCTTCCTCAGCTATCATTCTTCGACTGATCCGAAGTTTTATAGAAAAACTGAAGGGGTTAAGCACAATACTTGAGGCCCTTCATGATTAGAACTTTTGCACGAAAATGGCGATGATCAGCCAACAAGATCACTTAATTTCCCTTTCCCAAAGGCACCTATCATATTCTGGCTCTGAAGTCCTCGATAACAAGTGAATATTGAGAAGTGATAATAATGAACTTATCGTAACATAAAGGTTGACAGGGCAAGATAGCCAGGAGCAGTGATTTGACCACGTATAAAGTGACATGATGAGATAGCAGATGAGTGCATGAGAAAGTATATTAAGAGTATGTTTTGAGTTATACTAACATTATTCTTTAGAGCGGATATCCATTTTTTTTCGTTTATATCACTGCCCAATCGCTCAGTACTGAAACTGGGTTATTGTAGGTCGGTTAAATTATCCTTTCTTGGAGGTACAAAGACGTAGGCCTTTTAGGCCATGGTCATGTCATCGATGTAGGTAGCCGCTGGGTGTTTTAGAAAACAGGGACGTTTGCACCTTTGCTTGCACATATTTGCATCTGTGTTTCTACTAGCAGTGTAGTCATTCTTAAAGTTGGGTTACTCCTAGCTGCACTGCAATATGGAAAGGTCGGTCTCAACAGAGGAGACCTCAATGAGGGATTAATTTCCGCAATTCTAAATCTAGGTGCACTCCTTAGGCACTACTAAGAGGAACTTTTGGGGAGGAAACTGCAACACCAAGGTCAAAAATGGCCCTTTCTCAGTCCGAACAACAGAGAAAATGTAGAAAATTGCAGAGATAGTCTTGTGTTTTTAATCAAAATAAGAAACTGTTAAAGAGTCACCGAACCGTGGCCAAGAAACCGAGTCTATGTTCTGTGCTCACAGCCGCTACAGAGATCGTAGTTAGAAAAGATATCAAGAAAGCGAGGATGATGAATCCCACCGTCATTCCTAAAATGAAGTGTTATTTTCATGGAACCAAGAAATAACTGCAGCTATAAACTATCACACTTTCCTTAAAGTTCAGACGGGTTTCGAACCCGCGATAACATTTTCCGGGGTCACCACACCAATCGAGGCCCTTGTTTTGTCTTTTTCCCAGCCAAAATTCTACTCCATTGGCGCTATTAGCAATCACTCGCCAACGGAAATAGCACCGCAAGAGTAAAAAATCGGTCTAGAAAAGCCAAAGCAAGGATCTCGGTTAGTGAGGTGGAGCACGTGAGCGCCCCGATAAGGCCAATCGTGAGTGCGATTCCCACCTAAGATTCCCAGTTTTGATCATATTTTATCCTTGCAGTTGAATTTCACACAATGCGCTGCCCCGAAAAAAGAAATTGGCAGTAAATAAAAGTCATTTTGATATCATGCTTTCTACTTGCTACTTAATGCGTACTTAATGTAAGTATTTATAGTGAATCGTTGGCTGCTTAAGTCATAAAAAAGTAGAGAAGTGCTATATTCTTTAGACACTTGTTAAGCGATGCTTATCCGCACCGATGCTCAATCTTGATGTGTAATCTGAACATGGATACATCATTGCTAGGTGGGCCGTTTGGTTCTACCGTCTCATTGGCTAGCTGCGCTTACGCTCTCGCAAAACAAGGTTATGAGAGATTTTAGGTAGAGATTGCCACAAGCAAATGCTTATTTTAGATTTAAAATTTGTAGTTGAGAAGACATTTAACAGCAATATCTCTCGAAAGCACTTTCAGTAAAGCAGATTTTGCCGAATGAGACTTAAATGGTGTGAGATAGGTATAATTAGACGAGTAAACAACCAATTTGAAGCGCAGCTCTATAAAAAATAAATAGTCTTGAAGTAGGGCTGTTGCTGTCAAGATCGCCTTGTCGCAAGAGTTAGCTTCTTCGCAGTAGAAGGCAAAAGATGAGGTTATACTATGTTTCCTCACAATCTATTCACTAATTTATAGCAACTGCCAAAGTAGACGGAATATTTACCGAGTCCGACTTCCTGGGTGATCCACGAGATTCTCACGAAAATGATCACTCCAAGCATGTTCTGCAAGCATCGCACAAACACGTGTAGCCAGTCCCACTTCCCCATTGCGAGAAGCGCCAATACACAGAAACGGTGAGAATCCCTCTAAAACACAAACGCTTAGGCATGCTTCTAGCAATTTTTTTCTCATAAACGCACATGCAAAACTACACAATCATGCTTGGCCGGACTTTTTAAACGACTTTTAATCTTTTCTAGTCTAAACCACGCAAATCATTTCTGTTGACGGGTAATTGTTAATAGCACAGCTAGGTAAAAAAAAGTTGGTTGAGAGAAAGGCAAAGCAACGGCCTTAGTGGTACAGTGGATAGCCCTTGGAAACGGTAATCACGGGTTCGAAGCTGGCTTGAGGTCCAAGTCTTTGCAAATATAGCATCATAGTGGTTGCATTTCATCACATCGTACCCTACCATGAAAAGAATTACAGGCAGTAATTAAGAAGTTAAACCACTTTCAATTCGACAGCTCTTCAATACTGCCATCCAAATGTCATTAAGGTGAATACCTACGGAGAACGAGGAAAAAATAAAACAAGAAATGTAAGAAAGTAAAAGCTCAACACATTCTCGGCTACGCCTAATTTCCGCAGGCGTCTGTATAGGACCACGCCTCATGTTTCGCCGCGACCGTAGGTTCCCCTCCATCTCTCCACTGCCCTATTCCCAAGAGAAATGTCTTAGCCTCCCTCGTACGTTCTTCATTCTACGGTACGATTTCTTGACGTTGTATGTAATTTTTAGTAACTCGTGTGCTCGTCATTTTCCCTCTCAGCATTCACGAGGTTGTTAAACAGCATACGTTTACTTCCGTACAATAACACACATACAACACAATCGTAGCTGACGTTTCGGCAGAATCACCTTTAGAGCCTGGAATGGTACACTAACACGCAACTTACTAGATCAAACGCTTCAATAACACATACAGAAAAGTGAAATCCTATCAACGATCGATACGAAGGTAAGGGGTGAGATCACGCGTGATCTCGGGACATTCCTCCCTGCTATTCATCGTAGGATTTTCGGCATTTATCCATAGAGCCCCGAGGAGTTTGCGCGTTGGTGTTTTAGGATCGCGTGCGAGGATAGTTGCTCTTATGTCAAAACTTGCCCTTATGGCAGGGAC